AGAGAAGGCACTTGACTAGCATTCAGACATCTCCCAAAAGGCGCCGGTGTCGGGCCTGATGGTAACGCTATAAAGTTTTCGTTGATACGAATAAACTTATACTGGTTTAGAATCAAATCACTCAGCGCTCAACAACTCAGAAGAATCAACAAGTGAGACGATGGGATATGTAAAGGTGAACTGACTTTCCAACCGATCTAAGTCGGCATTATAAATTACTACATACAAACTTTCTCATTACAGAGGAGGCTGCCGGAAATGGAAAGTGGAAACGATCGATATCTCATCCAGTTCGAATTGTTGTTGTTAAATTGTTGCTATTAAAAATTAGCTGTTGGTAAAATTGTTGTTTTAAAATAGTTGTTATTAAAATTATTGTTGTTAAAAAATTGTCGTTAGTGTTATTTTATTAAATATTCTTCACAATAAAGTCCATATTAAACTACGCATAGAAATTTCAATGAATTTTGAGTGCATTTCAGATAGAACTTAGGATAAAGTATTTTTGGATTTGAGGAGTTATCAGCAAATAAATCTAAATTCAAATCTCTCTTTGAACCTCGATTTGCGTTGTCTCGTGTTGGCAAGATGTGATCTCAACCTTGCACAGTTTCAAAATTGAAGCTCTGGAACGGGATCAAGCTCTAGAATAAGCTTGTACACTAGGTCACGAAACATTAAAATTAGTATACGAAGGCCGTTCTAAAAAACAAAAGCCAAGCCAAAAGCTAACAATTGACTTGACCTAGAAACAGTCCTGGCTATTACTATGACAAAGCATACCCATTTTAATCTCTATCTTTTCAGTTTCGTCAACATTGGTGAGTACACCTGTACGGGCTCGAAGACCGATGTGCACGAGGCGCGTCGTTTTTCTCGGGTCACTCGGCGATCTCCGTCTACACGGCTTTCTACGCCATTGTGAGTGTTTATTTGTTGGAGACATTTCTCAAGAAAATGTAATTAAGTGCAATGTTATGCACATCTCCGTAGACAGTGCATGTTAAAACTGATGGAATTTTTTGATGACAGTCTGAAAATCTTACGTGACTAGAGCACTTTTGTTATTTATGATACACTTGTAAAGTGTAGGAGTTTATAGTTTTTAGATTAAACCTACCATAAAATCTCAATTTTCTCTTTTCAGCTCTACCTTCAGGCGAAACTTGGGCGTTTTGAGCCGACAAAAATTTTCGTCAGTCTCGTGCAAACGATTTTACTTGTGCAGCTTGGGTAAGCAATTGATTTTAAATGTTTTAGCTTTAAAACGCAAAACTATCTTTAAATTTCAATTTAGTGATTTGCTATACCGAATCACAGACAATTGGCATCATTGAGCGACGCTTGTCGGGACCATCGTCGGTACTCTTGTCGCTATTTGACGGTGGGGTTTGAAAGTTTCGATCAAGCACAGACACTTTTGAGCGCGATGCAAACTGGAAATTGTCAAAATTAGCTGAAAGATCTAGTCTTAGTCACGTTTTTGAGCTGCACTTTGTGTTAAGCCATCAAATATCGAAAGTTTTAACGTAAAAGCTTGCTATAACTTTTCCCTTTCAGGCTTTATTCTGGGCTCGTCTTTTTGAGCGAACAGCGCATTTCCGAGATTAAAATTATTGTTGGTAAAATTGTTGTTAAAAAATTGTTGTTGTTAAAATTGTTGTTTTGTTAAATATTCTTCTGTTAAATCTCAATTCAAATCTCAGTTCGAATGTTGTTTTATTGTTGTTGTTGTTGATTTGTTTTGTTATTTTATTAAATATTCTTCACAATAAAGTTATTCAATAGAACGACCCCAGAAAAAGTGGTTTTGGAAAACTGGCAATTATCATTATCACCAATTACTTTGCTGGTAGACTTGCTTATCGATACAAACGGCAAGCTGATGTTTGACCGTTCAGATCTCGGTTTCTGAGAACAGTTAACAATTTGCAGATTGGTAGCTGTTCTAGAAACCGGAAAACTGAACGGTCAAACATGAGCTAGCCGTTTGTATCGATCATATCGATAAGCAACTCTATTGCCCAGGCATTTTCACACCAAAAAGGAATAAGCTTTTTTGAAGCACAACACAGAATACATTCAAAAACTTAAGACACACATGCAAGAAAAGAAGGCCGCTCTTTTCATTTCTCTTCTCATCTAGATTTTCTTTTTCCTTTCTGATCGCTTTCGAAGAACGATTTGGACAAAACGTTTTTAATGTAGCAGTAAAATTTGTAAGAAGCCACTCACTTTGCCGATCGCGATAGCGTCATCGCGCGCTCTCGGTAGTGCGTCACTTTCTTTCATCTCGGCTCCTCCCCTTGGATTTGTTCATTCGCAAAATTGGCATACAATTCGTCAACCGGCCCATCGACGAAGGCTTGTACCTAAGAAAATCGCTTTATACGGAGCTATCACAAACGTTGTTTAAAGCTAAATCTGAACAAAAGAGCTCTCACCTATTCTTCAATGTGTCAAAGGATGGCCGTCGCTCGGCCTTCTCCTCAAAACACAATGCCATCATTTCGGCCGTGGCTGCCGGCATTTCTGCAAATCAAAGAATACTCACGATTTCCAAAAGTAAATCACCTTGTGTCGCCTTCAATCGGAGTTTATTCCTCACCACGGCGATTTTCACATCTTTGAGCGACTAAAAACGGAATACATCCAAGAAACCCTCAAAGCAAAGGCTTTAACCTTAACATGCTGGTAGGGGACGGCACCGTTTGTGAAGCTCCCCGTCACCACGCCAAACGACCAGACGTCCGATTTGCTCGAAAAGATCCCCTTTTCGATCGCCTCCGGAGAAAGCCAGCTGAAAAAAACAAAATGAAAAGTCAAATTTAAATTTTGAACTGCCGCAACTACGTGTAGTAATTCGACGGAAGGACTATGCAAAAGTTTCAGATTTCATCCCAAAACCCTCACCGAATCGCCACCTTGAGCCGCTTGTCCCCTTGAACCTCTTTGCCAAATACGGAAATGCCTAAATCGATAAATTCAACAAAAGCCGAAATGAATCACTCACCAAAGTCGCTGATCTTACATCGGGCCGACTCGTCGATGAGAATGTTTCGGGCGGCCAGATCACGATGAATCAACTGAAAAAAAAATTAATCAACTAATCATCTCACAAACCTGCTGTTGCTCGAGGTACTGCATTCCGGAGAGGATTTGCAACGTGAACTTCTGCTTCTGTTCGATTTTGACGCGTTTCCGTCTCAGCAGTTGCAACAACGATCCGCCCAAAGAAGAAAAATCAGTTGATTTCAAGAATCATGTACCAGATTTTAGATAGCATAGTAGGAACCCTCACCAGCCGCAATTTCCATCACAATCATGAGCGGGTCCATGATGCATACGACTCCATAGAGTTGGATGACGGCCTTGTGAGTGATCGTCGCCAGAATAGCAGCCTCGTTGATGAACATCATTCTGAATAATCATTCATGGATTATTCAGAATGATGGATTAAAAAGCCAGCCGAGAAATCATCTTACTTGTCGGTGATGGTTGGCGATTTGTTGCTGGAGGCTTCGGACTTCGAGTTTGATGATGGCCGTGTCACAGAGGCGCCGCTTGAGCTAAAGAAATTACAATTACAAGATACCAATAAAACAATAGCTAAACATTTGTCCCAAAAAACTCACTATGTCGAATGTCTGCTAGCATCGGTGAGATTTCCCGAGTGGAATAGCTTGATCGCGCACTTCTTCGGCGGTTTTCCGTAAGTGCCGTCGGAAACCTAAAATAGACAGTGTACAAATTGGATATGCAATTTGCTAACAATTCATAAGGTTTAGGTATCCAAAATAGTGATCTTACCTCGCCAAAAGCTCCCTTTCCGATGACTTTCCCGGCTAACACGCTCTCTTGTCCCCAGATCCACGACGGGCGCGGCAATCCACAGAAGCAGCTGCGGTCCCGACGGTTCCAATGGCCACTTCTCCGCCATGAAAGCCTCGATCAACGCGGGAACAGTCTAAAATCAACAACTAGAATCATTTGATCAAGCAGCTATAACAAAATCAGCCCCTCACCTTGGCCAACAAATGATCATTAATGTAGTAGAGAGTGCCGCGGAACATTCGAATCTTGTAGTTGAAGATCACCCCATAGTGGCACACCGAGACGACCAGGCTCTAAATATTATCGTACGGTAAAGCAAGCCATAAATTTTTTCACCTCTTTCCCAGAAATGTCAGTGATGTAGACGATAAACAAGCCCTCTTGTGAGTTGTTGCCAATGAGTTCCCGTCGCGCAATGCCCTAGAAAAGAACAGAGCCAGCACAAAAGCACAACCATCGGTAAGAATCCATGGAAATAGCTTTCCGCCTCGAGTGGCACACCACGGTCGCGTGTGTCCTAAATCCACGTGTATCCACAAAATCTCAAACAAGAAAACGCACCACCCTCGCATTCGTCAGCTCGCGTTCGATCGGGTTCTGAAAAGGAAAATTCATCATTTTTGTAAAAAATTTCCGAACTTCCACATTTGAGTCAAGTCTTCTTAACTAGGAAATGAATTATTCAAATGGGGAACCAAAAAAGTCACATTCTTTTTGAAATGAGTGAATGAGTGCGATCGGGGGTCGAATTTCAGCGCACAAGCGGGAACAAATTGTCACGAACAATTTGCGTAGATGTGAACTTTCGTTGAATTTTTCATAAGATCTTTTATGTGGCCCTAGTTCGTGCCCTTAAAGCATGTACTGCAGTACAGTCTACCTGTGTACTATAGTATTGTAGGCTGTCCTTTGTTTTTAAGGGCAAACTTTTGGCGCGATGCCCACCAATGAGGTGGCTATTTGGATCCTCTGAAAAGAAAAAGCGTTAGAAACCAACAAACATTCATCACTCGCCCGTCCCGATGTGACCATTTGTGAGCTTTTCGTTTGCCGCACCCCATCCGCATTCGCCTTTTGTTTCACCTTTGACTTCATCTTCTTTCGCGCCTAAAACAAAATGGGAATCAATCAAAGAGAATTGAACCAATCCAACCTTTTCATGGCTTTTCCCCGAGTCTCTACCGCGCGCCGTTTGACGGTGTTGTGGTGGGGTGAATGGTGCAGCTGTGGGCCTGAAAAAACAAACTCAGGTCAAGATGATGAGCGCTCACTTTGGAAAAGAAAAGATACAGTAGTGGGAAAAACAAGTATGTTTCTCCTACTAGTTACTACAAGCCACCAATTTAAAAGTTTATAAATCAGAAACAAACTTGTACCTCGCACGTCTTTAACTTTGGCTCTGGCTTAGGGTTCAGCTTAGGCTTCTCGGCGGATTCTTTCTAAAAAGCAAGATTACCACTAAAAGCCTGCAAAAATGACACTCATCGATCCCTAAAAAGAGTCTAGTGTGTAGTCTAGCTTTGGACGCGTTTTTCTCGACACTAATTTATGCTAGAATGCGCGCTTAGGTATCAAAAAATAGGCCTGAATTTCAGCTATTTTTAGATACTAAAGACGCATTTTTTGAAAGTACGGGCGCTTTGAAAAAAAATGAAATACGAAAAAACTTTTGCGGCTACCTGACTGTACGAGCGGGGTGGGGTACTATTACAGTATTTACGGTAAGTACGGTAAGTACGGTAAGTACAATAAAACCCACCGTTGATATCGCTGGAGCTAGGCAAAAACAGATTAGTAGAATTAAGCCATTTTTTCCCGTCCGCTGTTTCGTGTTTTCCATGGAGAGGCTTATCCGACCTTTAACTAAACAAAGAAAAAGTTACTCCTCTCCGGAACCACAAAATTTTAACCTTTTTGTTTCTCTGATTCTTCTTTGGCAAGCTCATATATTGGTCAAGCTACAGTGCTCTAGATTTAATTAATATTTATAATTCTTTGATTTGCATTTCAAACTTGAATTAATTTTGTCAACTTTTCAAAACTTTTTCATTTTTCATTTTTCTCACCCGCAAAATGGCCTTTTTTCTGTTGAGAGGGTAAGTTTTTCGTTTTTTTTTTAAAAAACAACTAGTTACAGTACTTTTGATCTTTAAAAGTTATCTGTTACTACAATAAATGCCTTGTTTTAGACGATTTTTCAATTTTCTTTGATTTCAATTTTCTTTTCAGACGCCTGAATCCGCTTCGGTATTTGAGCATCCGCAGTCTCGCCATCGTTTGTTTTGTGCTCATTTCTTTTGGGATTCTAAAAATTGGATCTTTTGACGAGATTACTGTACCCGGCTATAGGACTATTACCGTAATGCGACGAGCTAAAGTAACCCAAAAGAACAGCTTCCTCAAGCTGCAATAACTCGAATTTTAGCTATAGTAGTCTCCGGTACAGTAATCCTAGCTATAGTAGCCTTAGTACTCTGTATAAAACTTGTCAACTCGACAATGTTACCGTATTCATCGTTTGCAAATTTGTCTTTCTGTTAGATCTTGATAAATTCTAAAAGTTCGATCTTTTTACTGTAGTCTAGATAATTTTCTTGGTACGACGGTCACAATACTTTGTATTACGGTTTACGATTATCTTGTAGCTACAGTATACTTTGTACTTTGTGTCCTTCCAAACACATCTTTCCTAGCACACTCATTTGTTAATCTTTGATTTTCAGAAACGAAAAGAAGATTTGAACAGTGTGCGTCTTCTTAAAAGTAAAAAGGCAGCCTCGAAAATCGACCATATCGTGCCGCGGATCTCCGTTAAAGTTTAAAAACTAATTTCAATCTTTAAATTGAAATTTCCTTTAGAAAGCCCTTTTCGCCGAGCAGCTCTCACTGGCAAACGACTTCGATTCGATGTTTTTCTTCTAAAAATCGGGAAATCATCGATCATATCGTCCCTTTTTTTTCCCCTCGAAAATCTATGCCTTAACAATCATTTTTTTTTTGTTAAATAAGTCATTTTCTTGTGTGAATTAGTGATTTGAGAGTTGCATTTTTGGTGAGAATAAAGATGAGAAATTCCGCATACGGTAACTTTAATGTACAATAGAAATAGGCTATCTTAGTTTCATCGTTTGTGATAAAAACTCTTTGAAAAGTTAATTTCTTGACCTGAAATTGTGGATGGAGATTGCTTAGGTTCATCTAAAATAAAGGGTTTTCCAAAAGAAACGAAAAGTAAAACCCATTCGAATCCTATGAGAAAGCGGCCTCTGTATGCGAGCACTCTACCACACTCTACCCTCTACCACTCTACCCCTCTACCACTCTACCCTCTACCACTCTACCCTCTACCACTCTACCCTCTACCACTCTACCCTCTACCACTCTACCCTCTACCACTCTACCCTCTACCACCTCCTACCCTCCACCACCTCTACCCTCTACCACTCTACCCTCTACCACTCTACCCTCCACCACTCTACCCTCTACCACTCTACCCTCTACCACTCTACCCTCTACCACTCTACCCTCTACCACACTCTACCCTCTACCACTCTACCCTCTACCACTCTACCCAATTTCCCTTACATACGAAAGCTGTTGGCAAATAGAAATCCGATGAGAATAAGGGTGATTTCTTTGAGAGAATTTCGATCCGGTTTTCAGAAG